TCCTTCCTGTCCCGTCTACACCAGGGAACACTAGCCAGCACCTGGCTCGTTCACTCTGGCAGGGAGGTCTTTTCCCAGGTCCCAGAGGTGGGAAAGTCTGGGTGAGATCAGCTCAGCCTGTCCTAAGCCTCCTTTCTACACGGCCACCTCTGGATCTTGGGCTTAAACCAAAGTCTGCACGTGGAAACGCAGCCACATGAATGAGTCTCAGAATAAGCCTGCGAGTGACGCAGGGCAGACTCCTGTCCCTGAGCCGGTGGGTGTAAGACCTGGTCCACCCCGGCAGGCACGGTCCCTGCAGAATCCCCCGCCCCGCCCTCCCGACAGCGAGGGAGAGCAGGGCTGAGGACAGCGAAGCGGTGGAAAAACCGCTCTGAAGGTGACGGTACTAGGAGAAGTAGCACGGAAATGAAGAAGGGCTGTCTCACCCCCTCGTCCCCCGGAACTGTAGAAAGAGGTTTTACAGGAAGTGATAAGTGGAAAGATTACTTACCACCAACGTGGGTGCCGTCAGTAATCCCCAAGCAAAAAACTCCAAAAAGATGACGATGACCGCGTGGTACACACTGGGAGAGCCTATTCCTTGAGGCTGGAAAACAGAGGGCAGCCGATCAGCAGGGCCCGCATCCGAGTCCCAGGAGCGGGGCCTGGCGCTGCCTCTCGGGCACACCTGGGACTTCCTTTTGCTCAATTCTCCTTTTCAACAGCTCGCGCCTGGCCCTCCAGCTCAGCTTTAGAGTCATTTTTCCAATTCGCACGGGAAAACGAGTGCCTTCTCCAGTGTCAGAGAGGCAGGCCCCCGCCGTGCTGGCAAGCCCATGGAGATCACAGAAAAAGCCAGCCTCAGGGAACTCGGATGGGCAAGTCCATTTTCCATAAAATGCAAACGTAAGCCTCAGGCTTCGGCCTCTCACAGGCCGCTCCGTCAGCACCCTGGTCAGACGCGAGAATAACCGCAAGGCTAAGGGGCTGCGGCGGACTCACCCGCACAGGCAGACGACCTGCGACGGACCACAGTCACCATGAGAGAGCCAATAAGGGTTGACCGCCTAAATGCCAGGGAATCACGCACCTCCAGACGCAGGCAATCCGATTAGAAATGGGCAGAGGACCCGGACAGACATTTCTCCCAGAGGACACACAGGCCGGGAGACACGGGGAAAGACTTGAGGGGTGCCCATGGAAGCCACCCTGAGGTGCCCCTCACACCTGGATGGCTGTCATCGAGACATCAACAAACCAGTGCTGGGGAGGACGTGGAGGAAAGGGAGCCTCCCACTGCCCTGTCCCTGGGAATGCAGATCGGGGTCAGACACTGTGGAAACAGAATGGAGGATCCTCGGAAAATTAGAAGCAGAACTGCCTGTGAGCCAGCAAATCCACTTCTGGGTACTTACCCAGGGAAATCCAAAACGCTAATCCCCTTTCCCCGGTGTTCCTAGCAGCATTACTTACAACAGCCAAGATACGGAAGCAACCTAAGTGTCCATCGACAGGCAAATGGATAGGGTAGATGTGACACACACACACACACACACGTATGTACAGTGAAATATTATGCTGCCATAAAAAAGAATGAAATCCGCCCTAGCCGGTTTGGCTCAGGAGATAGAGCTCGGCCTGCGGACTGAAGGGTCCCAGGCTCAGGTCCCAGGCTCAAGGGAACAGGCCTGGGTTGCGGTCTCGATCCCCAGTGGGGGGCGTGCAGGAGGCAGGCAATCCATGATTCTCTCTCATCGTTGATGTTTCTATCCCTCTCCCTTCCTCTCTGAAATCAATAAAAATATATTTAAAAAAAAGAAAAAAGAATGAAATCTTACCACTTGCGACATGGATGGACCCCGAGGGTACTTTGCTAAGTGAGTAAATCAGACAGAGAAAGACAAACATCATGATTTAGCTTATTTGTGGAATCTATAGAACAAAATAAACAAAACAGAAATCAACTCACACACAGAGCAAACAGGTAGCTGGGACGGGAAGGGTGTGAGGGGGCTGGGTAAAAAGTGAAAGGGATTAAGAAGTACAAACTGCAAGTTTTAAAAATAGTCATGGAGCCTGGCCAGCGTGGCTCAGTGGCTGATTGTCGACCTATGAACCAGGTTCGATTCCTGGTCAGGGCACATACCCGGGTTACAGCCTCAATCCCCAGTGTGGGGTGTGCAGGAGGCAGCCCATCTCTCATCACCGATGTTTCTCTCTCCTTCCTTCCTCTCTGAAATAAAAACATATTTTAAAAAATGATCATGGGAATGTAAAGTACAGCATAGGGAATACGGTCAGTAATACTGTACTAAGCATGTGTGGTGTCAGATGGGTGCTAGACTTATTGGGGTGAGCACTGTGTAAAGTATATGAATGTCTAATCCCTATGTTGTACACCTGGCCCTAATGTAATACTGTATGTCAACTGTAACTTAAAAAACACCGGAAGAAGGCACTTTTAAATTCATCTGTCCCAAATGGTCCACACTGAGTAAGAGATATATCAAAATATTACATACAGTTTTTAACGAAAAACTGTTATTTCTACACTAGGGGCCCAGTGCATGACATTCGTTCGGGGGGGGGGGGGGGGGGCTCAGCCTGCCTGCGCCCTCTCACAGTCCGGGACCCCTCGGGAGATGTCCGCCTGCTGGTCGTGCCCGGGCCTCTAGTACTGTGATAAGGCCACGGCTCCTTTACCAGTGGCCTGGCACACGGCAGGTGGTGACATATGTGCTGAATTTAACCTGGGGAACTGTTCTGTAGTAAACTACGTTGTTTTCCACTGAACAACTGTTCTTGCTTCCAGGAAGTATAAACCCTTCTGGGAATCTCCCTAGAAAAATATGTCAAAAGCAAATGGTGCAAACAGGTTCAAGGTGAGCAGACCCAAGAAGGAACTCCTGACACGCAGGCAGGGAAAGTGGGTTTACAGGTGCAAGTGCGTGAAACACAGTTTATTCTTTTATTGTTATTTTTGCATTATTTGCCATACGAACAACTGTAAACCCACTTTGCCCCACTGTGTAGAATCACACACCTTCATGTCACTTGCCTTCACTGTGTCTGACTCAGAGGGCAGCCTAATGGTTAGCTCCCCCCCCCCCCCCCCCCAGCCCCGCTGATACTCAGGAGCTGAGGATGAAGGGGGATCTTGGAAGGGCTCAGTTCCCCCAACTGTTACAAACTACGACATCCAAGTTTCTGACAAATCATTAACAGCGCATTGCACGGCCTGTGATGGATGTTAAGGTGACTGACCAGGCTAGAAAGATGCCCTTCGCAAAGGACAAAGCAAGGCAACCTGTTAAGGCTGCTGAGCCCCGAGCAGAACAACTGCGGGGGGAGGGCACCGGCCGGAGGGAGCTGCGCCCAGAGCTGCGCTGGGCCAGGTGCCCGCACTGGACTCTGAATACGTCCACCCGGCGGCGCAGCTTCCGCACGGGAAGCAGTAACAACACCCAGTGCAGCCTTCCTCCCTTTCTTAGGACGTGTTTGTAATGGTGGTCCTCTGACCAATTACAAGGAGAGGCTGGAAATCAAAGGCCATTTGAAAACCATGTCTATGACTTTATAAAAGGTTTACTTTTGTTATTTTTTTAAATCGATGTTTAGAGGGAGAGGAAGGGAAGGTACCACCACCAAGCGAGTGGAACACCCAGGGGCTGCCCCCAGCGCCCCCCACCGGGGGTGGATCCACCTGGGCACGTGCCCTGACCGTTCTGGGCACGGGATGATGTCCAACCGACTGAGCCACACCGGCCAGGGCAGAAGTTTTACTTGCAAAGTTCTGCTTGTTTTCATTAAAAGCTAGAATGGGTTAAAATATAAACCCTGCCAAAAATTACCCTGACACTTACCGAGATGTAAATGTCTCCTGATTATATGTAGGAATAAGCAAAATATCAATAAAAACCAATGTGCTGGCACACACATTTCATCACAGTAGAGGTGTTTGCCACTTCAGACTCACATACTAGGCCCTGCAGGAGTCAAAGCACAAACAAAGCCTCTATTCTAAAAGGGCGTCCAGGGCTGGAGGGAGGTACAACCAAGTGTGTCCAGATGACACACGATGCTCTCCCCACGCCCCTCCCCCCCCCTTCGTGTATCCTCCACCCTCCTGAAACACTGCTGGTGCGCAGACTGGCTTGTCCAAAAGCAAGCTCTGAATTCACTACAACTCTGATCAGTAACAAGATGAAAAATAACCTCACATCTCACAGGATGAGCAATGGAAGCGTCTGTGAAGTGAGTCAAAACCGTAAAGAGGAAACAACACGGGCTTTACGAGAAAAGGAAAGCGTTTCTTCATCAGCGCCACCGGACCACCTGCTCTTACCCAACCCCACCCCGCGCTGCCGAGAGGGGCAGGTTGCCTTAAAAATTTAATCCAGGGCCCGGATTCTTCCAAGCATTTCTCTGCCCGGCAGCGATTACCGACCTGCTCAAGAGTCAGGGCTGTCCACACCTGATCAAAGTGATGCTTTGATTAACCAAGAACAAAAAGAAGTCTGAGGATTTGAGTTGCAAAGTTTTTTCCCCCCACCAAATGTCAAATCTATGACATCTAAGAAACCTGACAGTTACCTAAAAGTATATTCTGAAACTGTCCCATACACCCCAAGCTTTCTAAATTTTAGCATCCTACTGGCCCTATTCTGCAAGGTCCAAAAAGAGAAAAAAGAAAAGGTATTTGTTTCCAGTGAATTCAGCAAGCCCTCTGTGCGGCCCACCACATGTAGCTCTGGCCTGGCCGCTGGTCGGGGTCCCGATGCGAAGAAATGCGGGGTAAGAGGAACCATTCTGCAGGCTTCCCGGGAGCGAGGCCGGCTGCACCTTCCCGTGCCGGCTCGGAGCCGGGTGCCGGCAGGACCGCCAAGTGTAGCAGCGGGAGGTGACAGCCGCGGCGCCGGGCGAGCTGCTCCCGATGGAGCCCCCGGCCCGGCCCGCAGGGAGTCACCGCGATGGCAACTGTGTCTAAGGAGCAGCACTTTCTCCCGCCCGACCCGCCCTCCTCTCGGAGCGTCCTCCTCCGACCGCAGGCGCGGAGGTCCTGTTAGGGCTGCTGCCCATTACGACCCACAGGTGATCGGAAAGCCGGGAGCTGCCGTCTCGGTCCAGGCCCGGTGACTGCGGCCGCGGGGCGACCCACCCCCGCCGGCTCACCGGGAGGAGGAGCGGGGACCGGGCCCTGAGAGGCGGCCGCACGAGGTACCCGGTGGGCAGCATATGGACGGGCGGGCGGGCGCCGCTCCCGGCGCCTCGGCAGCACGGCCACGGCTCGCGGGCCCGGCATCCCCTGTCCCCGGCAGAGGCGCACGTGGGTCGCGGCCAGGCCCTGAGGGTCGCCGGGGGCGAGGGCGGCAGGTGAGGACGGGCCGGCGACCCCTCCCCGAGATCGGGCCCCGGAGGCCGCAGGCCGGGCCGGGCCGCAAAGCCCGCGGAGCCGGGACCCGGGGACCCGAGACGGCGGCCCCGCGACGGGCGGGGTGGCGGGAGATCGGGGCGACGGCGCGGGGGCAGGGGGTCGGGTGGGCCCGGGGCGCCCGGCGGGCCCCGCTCACCGTGCCTCCGTCCTTAATGATGATCTTCTTGGCCAGCATGATACTGCGGTTCGCGGCCCGTTTCTTCTTCTTCCCCTGCGTCATTTTACCATCCTCGAGTCCCGCCGCCGCTGCTGCCACTCCCGGGGCGGCGGCCCCGCGGCGAGTCCGTGCCGCCGCTACTGCCGGGCCGAGCCGCTCGCGGTGCTCGCCGCCATCTTCCAGGCCCGGCCTGCCTCGGGCGGCGCGTCACATCGTGCGATCGGCGACGAGCCGCCCGGCCCCGCCCCGCGACGCCGCCCGCGCCCGCGCCCGCGACAGTGACCCTCCCCACGTGACGCCGTCGCCCCGCCCCCGAGACACTGCCGCTCCCCTCGTGACGCCATCGCCCCGCCCCCGAGACACTGCCGCTCCCTACGTGACGCCTTCGCCCCGCCCCCGAGACGCTGCCGCTCCCCACGTGACGCCGTTGCTCCGCCCCCGTACCCCACGTGACATCATCCGCCCCCACGTGACGCCGTCGCCCCGCCCCCGCGACACTGCCGCTCCCCACGTGATGCAGTCGCCCCGCCCCGCGACACTGCCACTCCCCAAGTGACGCCGTCGCCCCGCCCCCTCGCCGCTGGGCTGTGCCGCGCGGGAGGGAAGCCGGCGGGGTTGCTGGTGCTACGGTGCCCGGGGCCCTCCGCTCACCCGCCCGCTTGGCCCTAAACAGCCCGGGCGGTGGGGGGGCTGGGTCCCCCTCGCAGGTGATGAGGCGTTAGTTCTGCAAACCACCTGCTTGCAAGTGGTTGCTCTGGAGCCTGCGCGCTCTCCACCTGCTGTCAGCAAAGGCCCCCGCGGGGAGCAGCTGGGATTCCAGACAAACCCACTTTCCAGAAAGGCCTTGTCCGGGGCGCGGGGCCCCAGAGCTGAACCGAGCGCGCGCCTCCCGCAGCCGCCAGGCCCCGGGCCTGGGCCTTTGGGGCCTGTCGGCACGCGTTACCTGCCGCGCGTTGGAGCCCGCTTCCTGTTCTGCCATTTTGCTTAACAGCCAACTTGATGGAGGGGCGTGGGGCGGGGTCGCTACGAAGGACAGTGGCAGGTTGACGTCGGGCGGTGCCGAGTTTCGGTTTTGGTCATCGCACCGTGTGAGCCTCAAACAGAGTCTTCGGCGTGAGGGCGGGGCCCGGGCCCCCCAGGCGGTTGGAGGAATCGCGCGCCGGTGCGGAGGGGACAGTGACGCGCAGAACGCGGGTGCCGACCCAGCGCCGGGCTGGGGGCGAGTGGAGCGGGGAGCCCTCTCCTGAACGCGGCTGCGCTGCCGGCTCCGTCCCGGTGGAACGAAGTGACAGCCCTGACGTGTGTGTGTGCAGGGAGGGGGGGGCGGTCACGGCAGCACAGAGCCCGCTGCCGGCTCCGTCCCGCTCGGTCCCCGTCCCGAGGGCGCTCGGGCGCCTTTGGAGTCACCTGGGAGCAGGGCCTCTGTCCTGGCCGGGCCTCAGCCCCCTGCAGCCCCGCCGCACCCGCTGCCCGGCCCGGGGACCCAGCGAGGCCCCCTGCAGCCCCGTCAGGAGCCCGGAGCGAGGCCCCCGCCACCCCGGCCCCGGCGCTGGGACCGGAGACGGGAGCGAGCGCCGGGTCACCCATCACACAGCTACGGAGCACGAATCCACTAGTTAAAGGGGACGGTGTTCTTTGTATGATGGTTGCAACTTTTCTGTAAGTTTGAAGTATTTCAAAATAGAGCTTAAAAATAAATTTGGTTGAGTTTCCTGTTGTGTTCCTGGAACGGAGTAGAAACAAACCAAGTTCCGCGGGGAAAAGCGGCATTTTAGCCGACAGGTACCTGCAGTCACGTCCCACCCGCAGGAGCGCTCGGCGTTTGTTCGGAAAGTCCTCAGGCGGCAGGTGGGTGCGGCCCGCCCCGAGCTCTGGGGGGGCGCGCGGAGGCCCGAGGGGCGCCGGAAAGGGTGCAGTTAGAGTTGGGCGCGCAGGCCTCCTGCTGGGGGAGCTGCGATGGCGGGAGGGGAGTCCGGCCGTGGCGGACGCCTGGTTCCCGCCGGTGGCCTTGTGTGCGGTTTGGGGTTGTGAGGACTCACGAAGAGGTTGTGTGGGGTGCACGGGTCACAGCAGAAACGAGCACTGGTACCATAAGCAAGGGAACGACAGGAAGGATGTTGGGGTTCCCCAGGCGAGTGCGAAGGCCGACAACCAGGCTTGGAAAACAGGAACGAGGGGGAGGCTCATGAGGCCCCTTGGAAGAGAGTGGGACCTAGAAGTAAATGCTCCCAAAGAAACGATTGCGAATCCAAAACCCCAAACGCACCACGTGTTGCAGAAGTGCAGCTCATGCCCTCACAGCATTCAGTGACAAAGCTGTCCTTACACATCGGAACAAAATTAAGTGGACACTGTACGTGCCACTGAGCACTGTATCTGATTACAGCCACGTTTTCCTACCCTGGAGTCACGTTCTGTTAAGAATCATTTGACAAAATTTCTGAAATTAAAAATGACAGTGACATTGTAGCCCTCGCTGGTTTGGCTCAGTGGATAGAGCATCGGCCTGCGAACTGAAGGGTCCCGGGTTCAATTCCGGTCAGGGGCACAGGCCAGGGTTGCCAGCTCGATCCCCAGTAGGGGGCGTACAGGAGGCAGCCGATCAATGATTCTCATCATTGATGTTTCTATCTCTCCCTCTCCCTTCTCTGAAATCAGTAGAAATACATTTTTTAAAAAATGAGAGTGTAGTACTCGCTTTGGCAGCACATACACTAAAAATGGGAACCACAGAGAAGAGTAGCATGGCCCTGAGCAAGGATGACATGCAAATTCGTGAAGCGTTCCGTATTTTTTTAAAAAATGACAGTGCATCATGAAAGGTCTGTATGAACAGTTGTCACTGCTGTGCTCCCTCCTTCGCCCAGGAGAATGTGTAGAGGCGCACAGGCCCTGTGAGGGAGCTGGCGGCGCCGTTAGGGGCCCAGGCGATGAGAGTGTGTTATTCCTGGCGGCCCCCCCAGATGATAGCTGATAACTTATGCTCACAAGGTGACTGGGAGGGGGGCCCTGGAGCCAGATCTCGGGCAGCCTGGAGTGAGTCCACCCTGTGGGCAGAGCACCCGTCAGTGATGCCAAGCAGCGTGGGGGCTTTCCTGCTGGCAGTGCTCCGTGACCAGCACCGTGGCCGGGAGTGGGCAGCACCGTCGGACCGGGGCGCGCATACCTGGGGAGGACTGAGTCTGGCGCCCCTGGACTCGCACGCTGTCTTCCTCTGGCTGGTGGCTTCTCTGTGATGAATGGACTGCGGGTGACAGAGCTTCCAGTGGTTCTGGTTTTCTAATGAGTCGTCTCACCCGATGAAACTTGGAGAACTTGGGAGAGCCAGAGCTGCTGCCCCGGGCACTGCCCGCTCCAGCGGGATCCAGCTCTCCTGCCAGCTGTTTGCTCTCTGGGGGGGGCATGCTCCGGTCCGGCCCTGCAGGAATGCGCTGTGAGAACAGTCAGACCGTTCTGATGGCCACTGCGTCACCGTCTGACTGAAGGGCAGTCGCTTCGATGAGATTGAGACTCCCAGGTGTATCTGCATGGCCCTGCGCTTCGTGAGCTGTGGCATACAGTACTTTTTTTTTCTAGGTGGACATTTCTTTTACTTATTTCGTTTTCCAATACTTTCAGCGAAAGAAATATTCCCATTACCGCCCCCCCCCAAATTTAAATAAGTGCTTTTCATGAGCAGACACCAAAGAAAATTACACATTAAAAAAATACTGATATTCTTATTTTAGCAATGCTTTAAGATAAAGCATTTTGTACAAGGCTACTTCAGCGACAGTGGTGCAAAGAAAATCCTGTATGTTGCTTATCACTTGACCTCTATGCACTGAATTGATAGTCATGAAAGAAACAATTATATTCAAATTATGAAGAAGATCCGTACCAGTTACTGTAATTACCTAATCTTGAGGCTCGCAGAGAGATCATTAATTTAAAACAAAACACGTTACCAGGTAGCTAGCATCACCGTGCGAGGAGAAACGTCCAGGCTCGGCTAAATGAGACCCAGTCTTTCGGGCTGAGCATGAGCGAGGCGAGGTCACCTGTGGTGCCGGGAACCAGAGGGCCGGGGAAGGTGTGGGGTCGCTGTGGGCATAGAAAGGGGACACTCATGGGCCATGTCTGACACAGGGCAGCGGGACGCCAGGGAACGCAGGAAGACATTTACATCGCTAATTATGAAAATAATCTACTTTCATAAACCTACAAAGTGGATAACCGGGTACCAAAAAAATGACAACGAAATTTGTTAATTTAAAAAAGCCATTTAACAAAAGACCATTTTATATATTTCTTTGAATTATGTCATAAAATTTAAACATACAAATTACATTCCCAAGCCCAAAAGAATCTTTCAAAACAAATACATATATATAGACAAATTCGGAACCCAAATTATTTAAAAGTTGTTTAAATCACAGTAAATGATATAAGAAATAAAGTGAAAGCATGACCGTTCCTTCCGACGGTCCACGTCAGAGGAGCTCCATGCCTGAGGACTGGGTGATTCTTCAAGTCGGTTCTGCCCCCCGGGCCTGTGCAGGGCACTCACCCTAACAGCCTGCAGTTCCGCCAGGCTGCCCACCAGTGTGTGAGCAGTACTCCCACCCTAACAGCCTGCTGGGTGAT